ACAATTCAAATGCCTGGTGCCAGTTTAAATTATGTAATTAATATCTATCAAATCTAATACAAAAAATTTAAAAAAAATTGTTTTTTAATAAATATTTTAGCATTCTTCTTTATCTGTTGATGAAACAGCAACATATTCTCGACGTATTCATCCATCTCAACAATATTATTATCATCAATCAATTGAACAATCAAATTTTTATACATATCCATCTCAATTATCAATACAAAATGATCATCAACAAAAATCTTCATTATCAACAACAGATACAAAAAAATGTGAATGTAAAAAACAAAAAAAAAATATTTAATGGATTCAATTTTTTTCTGTTGAATATAGGGAATGAACTTGAAGTTACTGGTAATGTTCGTAATTTATCACCTATTTTATGGACATTATCACAATTAACTATTTTATATTTAAATGATAATCAATTAACACGATTACCATCTGAAATTGCTTGTTTAACAAATCTAGTCACACTTGATTTATCAAATAATAAATTAAGAAATTTACCATCAGAAATCGGTATGTTGAATCCAATCTCGGATCTAGTTTTTTTGTATTCGATGACCAGCGCATTCTACATATTTCTCGGAAGACTAGAACCTGATAGGTATTCCATAGAAACTAAACATTTCAGCATTCTAACCATACGTCTTTTAATATTCATTTATTTACATTTTTTTTTGTGTTTAAAAACTGTCTACAGAAGTATTACTTCGTTAAAAGTGCTTTTCAATATCACTTTTCCCGCTTAATATAGCGACCGAATTCGTTCTAAATAGGATTTTAATCTACACTATTTAATGACTAATAGAATGGCGACAATAGGGTAAGCATCAAAAATAAACCTACGACAGTTCTTTTGAGAGGAACTGATCTATATCGTAGTGATTTTTGTATGAACTGATACCACTAGACATTTCATTTTAACCATTGCATTAGATTTATAATTACTTCATTCTATGCCATACTTGTAAACTGCATAAGTATACTGGAATGAAGCTGTTAATATTTCGATTGTATTAAGCTGAATCTAATAAATGATCATGGGAAACCTCATATACATCAATTGATAATAATGATAGCAAGAGATCTTTCTCTTTTTCAGTATTTCTTTGAAAATTATCAATGAAATAGACTTAGGATTATATTTTTCTGTTATTAATAGTATCATCTTAATTGAATAATTTAAAGATCTATCTCGAAATCGATGATTTGCTTTTTTGAATTTCTCAATAAGTTAGAATACAATTCCCTTGACTTTCTTAGCACGAAATTTTCGATTAATAATGTATTTCTTACTCACATGTCAACACCAAACTACTGATAGAATATTCAATTAAATATATTACAATAAACTCTGCTCGTCAATGAAAATATCTGATGCTTTACATAGTGCGACGGGAATCACTTGAGGTAACTGGAGTCTCATCTCAAATGCAAAGTGTCACCTCGAATGGTTCCCTCGCATGCAGTAAATTTTCGTAGCTATCATCGATTTGATTGCCTCATATTTGACTAAGTATGATTTTTTATTTCCGATATTTTCAGGTGAACTTATATCATTACGTGAATTAAATTTAACAAATAATAGTATTCGAAATTTACCTTATGAATTAGGTAAATTATTTCGTTTACAAAGTTTAGGTAAATTGTATTTCGTTGTTTTCTTTTTTGTTTAATATTCAAAATTTTTCTATAGGATTAATGGGAAATCCATTACCAGCTGAAATCTTTACAATTTATACTGAATCAAATGGTTTACAAAAATTGTTAACTTATTTTCTTGATAGTTTACCATCATCTCTTAATGGTATAATAAAAGAAAAATTTTTTCTTCATCTTTTTTTTGTAATTCACACGATCGCCATGAGTTTCTTTTGTACAAGATTTTCATGAAATAGGTATTAATATAAAATATTATATCAAATAAAATTCAACAAGGTGAGTAATTTATTTTGTAATTGAATGAAGAGTATGTTCACCTTTTTTTTGCTTCGATTTAACAACCTATAATTATCATAATGTTATTGTCAAAGAGAATTTTACAATTATATATATATATATAAAGTAATGAGAGAAAAAAAAATTTAAGGATAACGTCAAATCTAGGTAGTAATTTTAATAGTTAATGACCGTTTATATCTAATACATTATTTTGTAAAATAAAAAAACCGGATATGGTAATTTTTTGATAATAGTATTTAAAAGAGCACAAAATGAGAGCGATCGTCGTATATTCTATGACCTTTTCTTAAAAAGTTAAAAATATTACAAAAATCTAAAAAAGGCGTTTTTGTTTTTGTGATACTTTAAAGTTTTTCCGAGAAGGTCATAAAAGAATACGGTGACCTGTTATTTTGTGCTCTTTAAAAAAATAGTCTTCTGAGGTTTGGAAATTATCGTGCCTGATTTTTTTTTTTGTTACAAAATAATGCATTAGATAGAATATTCCATTGATTATTAAAATTATTATATGGATTTGAGATTATAGGAAAAAAATACGTTGCTATTAAACTTTGTTTTTTTCTTCTTCATAAGAATGATTGCTATTGCTTTTCATGGGTAATTTATTTTATAGAGCAATAATATTAGGGATTTATATCAAAAAACGGAACATAATTTCTTTGTATATATGCTTTATTATTTATTGCTATAAAAGGGATATGTTATACTATTTTTGAGTTTTTGTCTAATGTTGTTTTTTTTTTTCCTTCTGAAAGTTGCCTTATACAAAGATGTCGTCGGAACAGACGCGTGGGTATGCTCAGTATTATTCCGACCAAAAAGAAAGAAAAAAAGGAAACAGAACAAGTATAAACCAGAAACGGTAAAACTGCGACATTAGTTGTTTTTCTTTTTTTTTTTCCTCGACGTTTTTGAACAGAAAAGAAAAGAAAAAGGAAATTATTTTTCTGCTATTTGTTTCTTTTTTTTTTTGTTTCATACTGCGAATAATCGAACCTCTATTAACCTAATTCTTGACATATTCATTCTGTTTTTTTCTTATCATAACCGATTTATCACATAAAGAAAACCTCTTGTCTTTTCGGTAGGATGATGTATATATATATATTGAAAATTAATATTAAGAAAAAAACAATAATAATTTGCTTTTTCATTTCTCTCTCGACCTTCCTAATCCTCTTATTCTTTGTTCATTATAGACATAATGATGATCACTGAGACTAGAGTAATGAGTGTTAGTGGAACCATTGACCTTTCTCTTTTGTAATAGAACTAGAAGAAAAAAGTCAAAAATAAATCGATTATTTTCCAAATCATTTATCTATTCTTTTTTTTCTTAGTATGAAAAATTCAAAAATGTAATTTATAAAATGTGTTCAATTACTGAACCACGTCGTGCTATTGTTTCATGTAAACATATATTTTCATCGTATACTAATGAATGTTCTACGACAACAACAACAACAACAACAACAACAACAACATCTTCATATCGAAAATTACATGACAATATATCGAATAAAACCAAAGTCTTTCAAATATCATTTGATGTTGAAACAAATTTTTTCGTTAATAATGATAAATTACTCAGGACATCATTAAATCCACTTTCACCTAATTTCTATTCTCATCATCATGAAGAATTAATATCAAGGTAAATAATAAGTTTTTTTTTTCATTTATTGATCTATATTTATGAAAATAAGAATAATTTGTTTTGAAATTAATAATTAAGAAAAAAAACACGATATATTTTTTTTTTCTTTTCTAGTAACATCAACTATCAATCGAAAATATCTAGTTATTGTAGTAGCAGTACAAATCCAGGTGAACAATTATCTCCAATTTTAATAAATAATGACAATCGACCATCATTTTCATTTTCAATTAATAATAATAATAATAATCATACATCATCAATTCGTCGTAAATCGTCATCATCATCATCATATGAATCTAATCATAAAATATTATGTTCATGTGAAAAAGAAAATATAATAAATCGTAAACGTCCTAGACGATTTTTTAAAAAAATTTCATCTTATGAAAATTATCAAACAAAACGTATGAAAAAAAATTATCGTTCAAAAAATCGTAAACAAAATTTAAATAATTCATTAATTAAATTTAGTATTGATTTAACAGGACAAAATATAAATTATACAATTGAATATCATCATAATAAAACAATTTTACCATTTTATTATGATTTTTATTATATATCATGGTTTCAAATATATTATTATTATTATTATTATTTATATTTCTATTATTTACAATTCTTTGATCGAGAAGAGTGTGAGCACAAAAAAAAAATAAAACTCATGGCGATCTCCTGTCCCATCCTCTCCTTCTTTTAGTTTAAAATATACGAAAGAAAAAAAACAAGATTTTAATAATTTATTTTTATTTTTCAGCTATTCAACCACCACCAACACGATCATGGCTTCGTCTTGCATCACCAAATACAACACAACCAACAGCTATATTTACAATAATGAATTATAATATACTTTGTGATAAATATGCAACACGACATGTTTATGGTTATTGTCCATCATGGGCATTAAAATGGGATTATAGACGAAAACAAATTCTTGAAGAATTACGTTCATATTCAGCTGATATTATTGCTCTTCAGGTAAAATAATATGTTTATTCTTAATCATTAAAGCAAAAAAAAAATACACACACACGCACAGGTACTATGCAATTGAAATTTGGTGTAAACATAGAACTATTGATAATTTTCTGAGATACAATCCTAAGAAAGATCTTGACATATATAGAAGAGAAATTTGCACTGTATAAAGATCATAACAAACAGGATCGAAAGATCACCATCAACACATTCTACAGGTGTGACAGACACCTTATTACCACTTTTCTTCCTCCGCATTACAGGTCATCACAACATACGATCGCAAACCATCTATATATAACCTCACATTATAAAATATAAACTATTTTCTTATTACATGTCTCGAGGATTATATCAAACGATAGTGAAGAAATGTGCCCCAAAAAAGATAAAATAAAACAAGGAGCAAGAGTAGTGCTACATTGTATTTCATATTGCAAACCCATCGGGATTATGCTGATAGCATTGTCTCTCATTATGAAACCAAAATTTATTAATAATTTAAACATATTTTTGTAGTTCTTGAAATGTTCTATTTATCAGTGTAGAATTCATCATAATGAAATAACAAAAAATTAATACGGTATATCATTTTATATAAAAAAAAAAAAAAGAAATGTTGATATTTTAATAATTATCAAAATTTAACAATAATTCATTATGATTTATGTGTGTGTCTGGAAACATAGCCTGACAATTTCAGGTCATAATACACTTATGATAAAAAGTGTTTACAATAAAAATCGTTCTATTTCGTAGCGATTATTTTCAGTTCCATTTGTAGAAATTACATATCATAAGAGGATAAGTTGTTAGTTTTTGTCCTTGGATCAACCCGTAATTAAAATGAAAGTTAGTCCCCGCTGTCTTCAAACAAGTGATTTTATATATAGTACTAGTGAATTTCTACGTTCGATCAGTTGATTGATCGAAACGTAACTTTTTCGTTTATATTTAGATGATTATCTGATATCATTCTCAAATCATATTTAGATAAGATGAATAGTTTGAAAAACTTGAAAACTTGTTGGTATAAATTAGTATTTTTGAATCGATTCTTTTTTTATTCTTATTGGATCTGTCATTTTCTACACAAACACTTCCGTCTATAATGAGGAAAAAGCAAGAGTAAATTTATGTGTTTTTTATTTGTTATTTACTCAAGTGGTAATATATAATAACTAATTTCCTTGTGTTCCGGAATTAGTAGAAAAGAATGTGTTATAACAACTTTATGATTTTTATTTTTTTTGACATATAAACTCAAGTCTCTTATTTTTTTTTCTTTTTAGGAAATTGAAACTGATCAATATTATTCATTCTTTTTACCTGAATTACAAAAAAATGGTTATGATGGTGTATTTAGTCCTAAATCTCGTGCAAAAACAATGTGTGAACAAGATCGTCGTTTTGTTGATGGATGTGCTATATTTTATCGACAATCAAAGTATAAAAAAATAAATAAATTTCAATTTCTTTTTTTTTAATTTAATTTTTTTCAAAAAAGATTTCGTTTAATCAAAGAATATCTTGTTGAATTTAATCAATTAGCTATGTTAGCTGCAAATGGTACAGCATGTCATGATATGATGAATCGTGTTATGACAAAAGATAATATTGGTCTTGTTGCATTTCTTGAAACAAAAGAAGAAATTTATTCTCATACATTTTCAAATGGTAAAAAAAAAACGAATTATTTTTTTTTTTTGGAAATAAATATTTTTTTCTTTTTATTCAAAGGTGTTCTACCACCAGATCATAGACAAATGTTATTTGTATGTACAGCACATATACATTGGGATCCAGAATATTGTGATGTTAAAGTTGTACAAACATTTATGTTATTATCAGAATTAAAAACAATTATGGACGATGCTATACAAAAACATCGACCAAATTCAAATATACCAATTGATTGTACATCAATACCATTAGTTCTTTGTGGAGATTTTAATTCATTACCTGATTCAGGTAAATACAAAAAACGAAAAAAAAAAAAATGATTTATTAATAAGATTTTTTTTGTTTCCAAAAAAAAAAAAAACAAAAATCTAGGTGTTATTGAATTAATGCGTACGGGAAAAATTTCAATGAATCATGCAGATTTTAAAGATCTTAGTTATGAATCATATTTACAAAAATATTGTCGTATTGATGAAAATTCAACACCAAGTAATGATATTGTACATCATTTTAAATTACAATCAGCTTATGAAACAACATCAGCACCTATTATGCCCTATACGAATTACACGTAAGTTATATTATATAGATTATTAGTGGCAAAACAGGTAAAACCCATTAGATTAGTTCTAGTTCGTAATAATTTGGTTAACTGGCTTCGTCGGGTTCTAAAATGAAACAACATCCATCTTTCATTTGATTTTGATTGTTATTTTTCTGAATAAGTTCTATTAACATAGATATGTACATGAATCTTTTAGCTGAGTATTAATTAAAAAGTAATTAGTGACTATCTCTCTAATTATATGAGGAAAAAAAGCCGAAAGCTTCAAGATAAACTCTACGACATGAATCGTATCCAGGGTGAAATTTTTAACAAGATTGAACTTTGAAAAATGTCCTTATAAAAAAAATCCTAAAAAGATTTATATCGTATTGAATTCTTATTGAAATTTTCATTCGATTATGAGAATATTTTTCTTTTTAATTTAAAAAAAATGTTTGACTAATGAACGAGATGATTGAGATTAGTTGAATATTGAAATAGACTTTTTACAGTAAAGATTATTAATTTTGAGAATCTGAGGAAAAAATTGGAATGTTCAATTGAACAGAATCGGTTGCAAGTCTAACTAGACATGAAAATGATTCTATCTCGTATTCTTATAAACATATTCATGAACATGATCATATTTATCTTGTTTAAATCGGATCCAAAATAACTATAGTCAAACAGAAAACTAAATTGTGTTTACAAGCGTATTGGTCGGTGTTAAGTTCTCCTTTTACTTCAACCACAGATACCATAGATAATATTACAGCAGACAAGCCCGTCAAAACATTCATTACCTATCAATTATTAATAACTGTCATCTCCTCCAATAATTGAAGAAATTTATTCTAGTTTGGTCTAATTGAATCTTAAATATTAATTTTTTTTCTTTATGAAACTGCTTTAATCGTTTTATCGCACATATATGACTTCATTCATCTTGAAAAAAGATTTTGATGGATCGAAAAATATATTTTATATTCAATATAAAATCTTTGTTTTAGGTATGATTTTAAAGGTATTATTGATTATGTTTTTTATTCAACACAATTAATGCGTGTACTTGGTGTATTGGGACCACTTGATCCCGAATGGCTTCAAACAAATAAAATAGTTGGTTGTCCACATCCAAATGTTCCATCGGATCATTTTTCACTACTTGTCGAATTTGAATTGAATCCAACAACAACAACAACAGCAAATGAGAATTTAAAAAATTCAACAACATCAATATCAACAAGACGACAATAATAACAATAATAAAAAGAAAAGATACTCGCAAGAAAAATTTTACGGTGAAATCTCAGGGTTCATAAAAATTATCTTGATTAATTTTTATTCTTCTATGTCTTTTTTTTTTTGTGTATTATGTATGTCTATCCTTCGATTAACTTGTGTTTCTTTCAAATTGTCACGACATGTATAGTTTTCTTTGCATTTTATATTGACTATTATCTTCGTTTTTTTTTTTTTGTCCATCATCTATTATTTTCTTCAAGTGACACAAAAAGAAAAAAAACAATATAAAAGTTCGTTTTTTTTTTGTCTTTATTGTTGTTTGTTTGTCGATGTGTTTCTTCTTCTTCTTTTGTTTTTTTTTTAATATATGTATCTGTTTCACGGCAATTTAAAAAAAAGTCGTCTAATAAAAATACAGAAAAGAAATATCTCAAATCTTCGATTAATCACGATGAAAAAAATTCAATTAAAAATTTAATAATATAAAATTTAGGCTGTGCTTTACAAAGAAAATCGATGAGAATATTTTTTGTTTTTAATATTCGATACATGCAGGGAATAGACACATGATTATAACCTTTTGGTCTCAAATTCAAGTTGACATTTTGATGTTTTTTTTCCGGCTACAATTAACTCTATTTGAAAAGACGACAACAACTATTAACAAATAGAAATGATGACTGATTATATGCATCGATAGCTAGAGCCTGTCGGGTCCAAATTTTCGTATCCGGATCCGGTCAAATCGTACTTTGATACTATTAATGAAATTTTCTAATTAAAATTGGATAGTCATCTAGAAAGTAGGAAATACTTTTTTCCCGTTTTTTTTGCATTCAGTGACTATATGCATATTTCTCCGATGGCTAAAGCTCATCGAGTATAAAATTATCCGACCCGACTAACAGAAAAATTTCAGATTCAGGCCAGAAATCAACTCGAAGCACTTTATCCTTGATATTTATCTTATCTCTGTGACATATTTCTTTTTTTTGTTTTTGTTTAAGTATTTATACACTACAGCTATCGTTTGCCAAAAATGATTTAGTTAATTGTTCTTATTCACAACATTATAAAAGAAATAGAGATTAATTTACAAACTGAATATTCACTAGCAATGATGTTGAGTATTATGACTATCATATGAGATGGTTAGAAAACGAAGTATAGTTACGTAAATAGATGGTGGAATAACTTATTAACAATGATACTATGTCAAAATACGGTAAACTCAGATGAATTTGATGATTAGAGCATTTGATAGACATTATATATGCGCTGTAGGGACCGATAGAATGGTGCTGCTCGAAAGATTCAATGTGTCTATGCTCCAAGAAATTGTACTTTCGTCCTCCGGCAGTTTTAAATTATCCCTCCGAAAGAGAAAATCTTCATAAAACACTACACTCAGATCAACAATAATCGTAGACAAAGGCATGAAACACTTGTTTACTGTCTCTCTGTATGCTATCATATTGAACTATATAAACTATTAAAATACATCCAGTTATAGCTGAATCTAAGCTCGATAAAATGAAGACAAAAAGTTTAGAAACGCAATAGTTTTTTTAACTTTTTTCCTTAATGGTGACAGCTAGAACAAATTAGAAACAAGATTTGATTAGCTAAAGCAACTTCCTATCAGTAGAAGTACTTGTCAAATTCTCATTAACAAGTTCAAACATTTTGCAATCAAGTTCATCTGATAGAGAAAATATTTCTGAATAAAATAAGATAACTCCGAGCTCTTCATGACCTGTCGTCAGCGAACGATAATTATTTTTCAGTAAGCCTAAAGGGCTTTCTTCGGTTTTTTTTGTGAAAATTTATATGAATTTACTATGTTTTACACTTTAAGGTTCACTGAAAATAGATAGATTGTGAAAAGCTCTAGGATATCTTATTTAGTTCAGATATGTTTTCTCTATTAGATGAACTTGTTTTTAAAACGTTTATTTATTTTTTTGATATCATAATGAAAAACGTAAAAACAAAAGATTTTCTTTGGCGCTTCATTAATTCTATTAGTGACAATGCGTATTCCATATTTAAATATACCATGTGTATTAAATGAAACATGTTTTCATGGACAATGTATTCATGTTAATGATTTTCTTATTGGTTGGTATGAATATTGTTTATGTAATCATTATTATTCAGGTTATGAATGTAATGAACAAACAAAATTAAACCGAATTGATTGGTTTATTATTTTATCATGTTTAATAACATGTTTATGTATTATTCTATGTATTTTATGTATACCATTTTTATATAATTTTTTAAAAGATGATTTTTATCCACAAATAATTGAATGTACACGTTCAACACCATATGTTGAAATTAGTTCACCAAGTTCAACTATATATAATGGTATGCGTATCTATCGAATACCATCAGAATATTTATCAAGACGACGAACGATTATTGATCGACTTATACCATTACATTCTATATCATCACTTGCTTATTTAACTCGTATTAGAAATATGAGACATCAAAGAAGAAATGAACAGATACATCTATGAATAAATGAAATATTTTTTTTCAGAATAATATAATATTTCCAATAAGAATAGAACTTTTATGATTTATATTGATAATGAACGGTTTTGTATTAATTTTGTTTTCAATATATAATGTCAAAAGAATTTGTCGTGAAAATTCGACAGTTTTCGTGTAAAAATATTTCATTCAAAATACTTATCGAAGGTTGAAAAGTTTTAAGAATATGTTTGACTAGAGAAAAGTCCCTTGCAACTTAATACAAAATCAATGATGAGAAGTACAATTGATCGAATTGTCTTGAACTCAGCTTTCGAAACTTTTAGACACTTTATATATAAGTATAACCTATGTGACATGGATTTTCCAGTGATATCAAAATATTCGAGTTACAAAACAACAGGTTCCATTAAAAATTTGATTTTCGTTCCACAACATCCATGAAAGTTTTTCTCATAATATCTAACAGAAAACAGTAAAATTCAATAAAAATGATTTATCTCTTACATCATAGTACATATCAAAGTCGAATTTTCGTAGATCGATAGAAGATGCTCCAGTCCATCTATCTATCATATAAGAATTAAAAAATCTATTGAAGTGTCATAATCTTATAGTCTAATCTTTGAAAGATTTTGACAATGTAGCGCCTTCAAAGGAAGATCAGCTCTTGGTTCTTTTATAGACTTGTGTCCCCTGAAGTTTTCTATCGATTGGTGAGAACCGCAGGTCTCTCGCTGATTGTATTGAGTTATACAAAGCTCCGTGGAGGACACTATGTTTTGAAACGGACAATAGTAACAGTACGCTGTTAGATGTTGAATAGTTCAATGCATAACAGTGTCTGACTCGGGTCGGGTCACAAAAAATTGATCGATTTCGAGTTTCACATAAAATAAACAGCGATTTGAGATGTGATAATGATTTTTTTACTCTGATTATTGAGAGAGCATTTATAGATTCAGTAAGAGGTACTTAATCTCTATAGAGATTTTGCTTCGATTGTCTGAAAATTATCTGTCGATCTTGGATCGAGTCGAATCGGGTGCAACCATGCTCGGATCGGGTCGGGTCACAAAAAAAAGTGATCCATGTCGAACACTGGTCTGCGCCACCATGAAATGTTTTTCCCAATCGGTTTTTTTTCATTGTAATAAGTGGATTTTGTAGCTAATGTAAAGGGTTCTTTATGATAAAAAAAATGGTGATGTTTACTCTTGCTGTTAAAGAGATCGAAAATCTATACTGGACGCACCTAATAGTCTAGAGATGGTTTTTTGAGATTATATTTTGGGTATAAAATCGGAACGACTGAAGCCAAAAGCTAGATCTTTATAGAATCATATGACCTACTAGTTGAAGTAAGAAAAAATTGTTTTTTTCATACGAATAGGAGTGATATGTCAGATTGGTCATGAAACTAATTTAGACTTAAAAACATTGAAAATTAACCTTGTCTGAATTTTTTACTCGTCCGCGAAAAAATTGTTAAGTCTGTCACCGAAAATGCTTATCTCAACGTGATCTTTCGTTTGATATAAGATAGTAAGGGTTCTGCTGGAAAAAGTCCTATGGGTCGAAGTACGACCTTATCACCTTCTCACCTTTTACCATGTTTTTATGTCTCATCTTGACAAAAAACAATATTTTGTCCTCTTCTGTCTTTTGGTAGATTGCTCGGTAAATCAACATTAGTTTTTATTAGTACAACCATGTGCAAAGACTTTTCTCATGGGTAATATACAACAGAAAAATTTTTAAAGTTCTTTTTTATGTCCAAAAATCAACAAAAATGTCCTTGCACACGATAAAATATAAAAATGATCTGTGTTTTGTAACTTTCCAACCAAATAAGAAGGAGAATTTCAAATTTTTTTTTTCGATACCTTTCCTATAAAAGCATAAAACAATTTTTTGTTTTATTACTTGTTGATTAATTCAAAGATGAGTTTTGTAGTAAATCGATATATTCCAAGACCAAGCTCTTATGTACCATCTCAATTTGATATAAATATTTTAATGATGGGTGAAACAGGTGTTGGTAAATCAACATTTATTAATGCATTTGCTAATTATATTATTTATAATACACTTAATGAGGCAATACAAGATGAAATACAAGTACTTATACCTTGTATATTTCATATTACTGATCCAGACACATATGAACCAAAAAAGATTTCGATTGGACAAGCAAATGATGATGAAAAATGTGAACTAACTGGTCAATCAAGTACACAAATTTGTCATAGTTATATTTTTTCAATAGGAAATCGTTTATTACGTTTAATTGATGTTCCAGGTATTGGTGATGTAAGAGGTATAGATCAGGATAAAATAAACTGTGATCATATTCTTGCTTATATAAATCATTATGAACATTTAAATGGTATTTGTATATTACTTAAACCAAATAATGAACGATTAAATATTGGTTTTCGTTTTTGTTTTAAAGAAATATTAACACATTTACATATTAAAGCAAAAGATAATCTTATGTTTATATTTACTAATGGACGATCAACATTTTATCGACCTGGTTCTACAACTCCATTAATTCGAACTCTTATTAAAGAACTAAATGATACATGGAAAGTTGAAATTCCATTTAATAAAGAAAATACATTTATGTTTGATAATGAAGCATTTCGTTTTTTAGTTTTATGTAAAAATGGACTGGAATTTTCAAATGAAGAAACGAATAATTATAGTAAAAGTTGGGAAATATCAATAAAAGAATTTACTCGACTTATTGAACGTATTCTTAAATGTGAATTACATGCTGTAAAAGATAGTGTTTCAATTAATGCAGCTCAACAACTTATACGTAAACTTACAAGACCAATTGGTGAAATAGCTCGACTTATACAAGAAAATATTCAATTAGCTAAAAATCATAAAAGTAATATTTTAAATAATCCATTATCGACATTATCAAAAAGAATACCACAAAAAATGGGAAAAATTCTTCATTTTGATTATCCACGTACAGTATGTGTAAATAGAAAATGTACTGAAATAATTATTGTTGATGATCAACGAAAAGTAGATTATATAACTAAATGTCATCTACATTGTTATTTACGTGATGTTGAACAAGAATGTATTGGTCATTCAATGTTAAAAGATTGTCATGCAATTAATAAACAAACAGGTTATTTTTTTTTTTAATTTGATTAAATTGGAAGAATATCAAAGATTGATAATGCACTACGTAGTATTATCTTTTCTAGTAGTTTCGCTGTGAGAATAAGAAAGAATTGCTCCATTTTTTTTCACAGTTCCAATCAGCAACCATCCTATAATAATTAGTAGAAATTTACTCAAGAGAGAAAAAACTGATTCGGATATTCCGAACTATTTCAAGCCATTCGAATAGCTCGGAATGAGATTGTTCCCCTTGGTGTTAGTTCTATACAGTATCTATTTAATAATTTCCTAAGAATAAATACTTCGACCCTATATATATTTTATTTAATTAATATAATATTTTTTGCTTTCCAGTCTGCGCATTGAATTATGATTATATTTTTTTTTAGGTTTGTGTAATGAATGTGGATGTTCTTGGACGATACATATGCATATCTCATATGAATATGAAACATTTATAACGTTTGTCAACATAGATAATACTAATTCACAGTCAGTATTGACAAGTATTGATAAACATATTGCTGCTCTACGAGAAGAAGAAAATTCTATTCTTGAAGTATGTGGTAAACTTTCACAATTTTTAAAAAAGAATTCTATAACTCCTTATAATGATGAAATTCTTGGGTATATACGTTATTTTATTAGTGAAGAAGAAATGAAAAGAGATGCTGGTGCTAAGAATAAAGATGTTATTCAAGGTCTGAAAAATATGATTCAACAATATGAAAATGAACAAAAATTATTTAATGCAATTCCTAATGAAAACACATCATCTATGGATTCAAAGTTTATACATAATGAATATGAGCTTGAAGATATATTTGGTTTAGTCGGTAAGCTCTATAAATTACCTATAAATGGTTCAAGTATTCAACAACAAGTTAAAGAATTAAAAGAAAACCAATGGGTAGCAAATGAAAAACGAGAACATTTTGTTGAAGTACCATTTCATGCTAATTCTTCGACAATAATGCAACAATTAAAAAATATAGTCAGTCAATGATAATAGTAATTCCTTAATAATTACAACAAACTTTATTAAGTATTTATATTGGATTATTTAATAGATAAATTTCATTTTATATTTGAACAACAAAATAAAAATTGTTACTTCTGATTTCTTTTTTCATGTTGATCTCATAATAAGATGACATATGTATGATCAAATTCAATTAAATTTTAGTCATGAAAAATACAGAAAAAAAAAATCACCAAACTTTATCAGAAAGAAACTAAGATGTATCATTGTAATATTCAAACAATTTTAAATACATTCGACAAAATGAAATTCTTTAATTAAAACATTTTCAAAAAAACATAATTCGATATTTTTTTTTTTTTGAAATTATTCGAAGTTATTTACTAACCGAGATTTCATTAGTAATATTATTTGATTCATTTATGAGAGTGTGGATGTGAGTATGGGTCTTGATTGGAAGCATGTCGAAATCTATTTCTCAACAATGTAACATTGGATTACCTTCGATATTTTTTTTAAAGAGCAGATTTTGGAGATTACATAACAAAAACAAAATGATTTTCAGGAATGTCCATTTTTAATATCGTTCCCGTAGGACTTTATCATAAACTTTAACTACGCATAAAATATGACATTTCATTAACTTCAATTGCTGGAAAAAATTTTATTTTTTGAAATTCCTTATTAGTTGTGAACTTTTTCGCTAGTACAGGGCATTAGAAAAATGTTGTTTTTGAACTCGACCGATAATTTGAAAATTTTATATCTATCTCTTTTCAATGCCCTATTGTAGTGCTACAAAACCTAACAAAATGCGAGAAGTTAGACCAATTTTCTGGATAGCTGAAGAATTTCTTCTAACTTTTGCACCATTCGTTTATTTGAATTTGATATCTTGCTGAAAGCTATTCTAATAGCTATTAGTTTGGTCATTTTTCTCGACTTGTAAGATAGAAATATAAACTAAAATTTTATTTGTCTCATTGACAAACAGCTTAGATTATTAGTTCAAATCTTTGAAACATCTCTTTGTAGAAGTAATTAAGTATGTACAGAAATCAAATAGTATTCAAAAAACGTGCAATATCTAACAATTATTGTTCTCCAGGAAGAAATTCTTGACAAATAACTTGTCCCTAGCTTTTGTATATAATCGTTTAGCAAAGTATCAAAAATCGTTTGATGGAGTCGCTGTTAATATTAATGAACATAGAATTTTTATACTACACTTATATTCCTATTGGTCTAATGATTTTTCTCAAGTTTTATATGGACTCATCATTCAGGTCTATTTTCAACGTTTTTCCACGAATCTAAATAGTGATCTGTATAGAGAACTTTATTTTCGAAGATGAAAATGATTGCTACTTTTTCAAGGATAGGATCTCTAAAAAAACAGCAAGTTTGAATTGCGTGAAAGAATAGAGGAAAAGATTCCCTGCAAAATGAAACGTCTTCTAGCTTTCTATGCCGTTTTTTTTTTGACCGAGATACATCAATATTACAGAAGTCACAAAAATGATGTTTCCATAGCAAGTAACAGAAAAAAACAACGACTTTAGTGCCTTCCATAAAGTTTTTATATCTTAATCAAAAGTTTTTTTTTGTCTATCCTTACCATCAATCTTTACTCTAAATTTTTTATTCTATATAAAATTTCTAAAAGATTAATAACATTAATCTATTTTTTATTTAAACGAATAATCGAAGGTGTTATGAGTTTAAGAAATAATAACAATGATCATTTCTCTCACTTTTTTTCTCATTTGGTGAGAATACTCACACATAAACATGCGAATTTGTTTACTGACAACAACGTGTGAATTGGCTGATTCCACCAGCAGGTAAACAATATCGAGAAAAACAAAATGATGCACATTTACAGGATATGGAAAAACAATTTATTAGTTTAACACATGAAAAAAAGTCAATAGAAAAAAACAAAAACTAATTTTTTTATTCGATTATATGATGAAATTCATTGTTGTTGATTATCAAGTACTTGACGACGCCATTTAATACGACGATTTTGAAACCAAATCTTAATAGTTGAAAAAAAAAAACAGAGTAAAATTTTTCAAAAAATTAAACATTACTTTAACTTGTGCTTCACTTAAATTAAGTATTTTTGCTAAATATAAACGTTCATGACCAACCATATATTGTTGTTTTTGAAATTCTATTTCAAGTCGTTCGAGTTGTTCTGTTGTAAATATTGTTCGAATACGTTTTGATTTGATTTTCGAATTTAAATTTTCAATTATTGAATGTTCAGATTCAAATGATGATGATAATAATGATAAATTTTCTTTTGTTTTAAGTTGATTAATAAGTCCATATGATGATATAGGTGAATTACAAAATGAAGATGAAGATTCTAAATTTATATGACCATCATCACTTGAACCATCTTCAGTATCATCAATATAACTTGAATTCATAGTTGTTGTTGGTTTTAAAAGTGAATCAATATCAAATGCACATTTTTTTATTGATCGTTTATTATTAGAATGAAATCTAAAGTAAAAAAAAAAAAACATTTTTGATTATAATTAATGAAATTTTTAGATAGACATGGACCTTTTTTGTTGTTGTGATTGAATATTTTTTTCATTTGAAGATAGATACATAGAAGATGTTGTTTGATCAAACATTGTTTTCAATTTAAATATAGAAAAAAAATGACAAATGTCGATCATTAAATATGGATAGGTTTTTTTTTTCTTTCGCAACGATGATCAACATAATTCGTTGTGAATAATTGGTTATTTTTCGTAAAGATGAACAAAATTGACCAATGAATTAAATAATCTAGAAACGAGAAAAAAGATATGATCTGCTTTCATCTGAATTGTGTAGTGATACAATTTTAAAAAAAACTATTCGAGATATTAGAAATTGTATGAACTGGATACATGGATGTTCCGAGTGGAGGGTGGGTACTTCTCCACTATTGAGAGATTTCCATTTTGTTTCCAGTGAAGTTCCAACGTTTTTTTTTTCAAATCTTTCAATCGAACTTCTGAGTCGTTGACATTCCTAATTCGATAAAAAAACAAGGTTTGCTTAAATAAGAAGATTTGAAATTATTCTCTATGAGATTGTCTATTGACTATGTTTCAAGTTGTAAACAAATATTTGACTTTTCAATTATCTATCATTTGGTTCAAGGCAAGGTTTTTGTGCTGATTAAATCGATTATAATCAATCGAACAATAACAGATAATTAGATCTTTCTATGGTGTTAATAATCTTTCGATCCTTTTAACTTTTTTTATGCCAAAGATTATTACAAGTTTTTATCCTTAACACTTTGATTGAAGAAAGTAAATTTTAGGTTATCAAATTTATCTTGTTCAAAATAGTGACAAAAAGAAAAGATAAAAAAGAAGTTAATGTAATTAATATTAATGAATTTTATTAATATCTATAGTAATAAGTAAAATACAATCTCGGGCAAAAGTAGCTGCTCCCCCCCCTCACGAAGTGCTACTATTCTTTATGATTAATATTGGTTTTGTTTTAGTAAGACGGATCTTTTCCACGATGACTTTGATCAATTCATCAGTAGAAATTTCCCATAAGATGACAAGTCTGTTCTAAAAGTTTTACAAACGCAGCATTGAATGATATCTAGTTAATACTGTAACATGAGTTCATCACTCCAGAGAGTATTACTTCCTGAGATCTTGACTATATGTCATGAGCTTCGGTGATACTGAAGTAGGCATATAGAGCTGTCTTTAGCGCTAGGGAAAAAAACAGTAGTAGCTTGTGAAATAATAAAATAATAAACAAAAACTTTTTTTAGGCATATTTCCGCTGAATATGTTTTTTTGCAAGGGAAAGAAGATATGTGGACCATGGAAGGCAGGTTGATACTTGCGATCTATGTAGTTAATAAATAAATTTTCTCGTATTTTATATATATATATATATCACAAAGTAG